ATCATTTGGCAAGGCCAGGTTTTTTGTGCAATTTCATGTTGTTCATTGCATATCTCTCTGGCCAGGTGATGGTGGACAGAGCTGGCCTCAGGTGCCACAGCTGCCACAGCCATCAAATGGTGGTGGTGATAGTGGCTTTGAAAAAGGGCCATCAAATGATGTCTCTGAAGAAAGGGACATCAAGTGTGGGTGGCCTTGAAAAAGGGCAGCGCCCTGTGAGTGGTGATGATGAAGGCTGGACAGAGGTTGTAAGCAAAAAGAAAAAGAAACCAGTGCCTTGATAAAGGGCACTGAACACAGGGCACTGCAAAAGTGCTCTTACTTCAAAGGCCTGACTGCAGCAGAAAAATAGCTCTCTGTGTGTTTGCTTTGCACTGTTGAAATCATTGTAATAAGAACAGAAAAGAACAGAACAGGAAAAAACAAAAAAATCATTACATTGAATCAACTCATAGCCCCTCATAACCCCTCATATTCCCTCATATCCCCTCATAACCGCTCATAACCCCTCATAACTCCTCATATTCTCTCATATTCTTGAATAGTGAAAAAAGGTCATTTTTATTGCGCAGATTTTGGTTTCAAAAAAACAAGTGTTTTGATCCATGGCTGCCAAAGGCCAGCCAAGGCCATAGAAAGCAATGACTGTGAATCAGCAGGTGGCACTGAGGAAGTGCAGCCAATGAAGAGGCCTAGCAAAAAGGCTTCAGTGACTTCCCAAGATGAATCTGTCCATGAGACCACCATTGATTTTTTAAAAACCAAATTGGCAAAGAAGATAGTGCAATTGATGAATTTTGGAACAAACTGAGCAAAAGAGAACAACAAAGCCTATGGAAAAGATTTGAAACCCAGAGACAGCAAGATGGAACTGCAAAGGACTACCAGGACATCACCAAAGGCATTGGCAGGAACCAGAAAGCCTTATCACTCATGAAAGTCTATCTCAAAGTGGGATCAACCAAGCACCCAGCCTGGATGCAATCCATGGCCAGCCTGAGGACAAGTGAAAGCTATAAAGAAACTGAGCAATGGATCCCACTCGAAGGTGCCCTAAAAAAGTATGGTGCCACAGAATTGAAAGCCAGAGTTGAGGCTGGCACCATACAAGTCAGAAGGTCCCTCACAGACAGCAGATTCCCAGAGTTCCTTGATGAACAACAGGTCTACTCCAGGAAAACAGAGCATGAGAAGACCAGAACTGGTACCTTGGACCAGAAATGTAAGTGGGAAGACTTTGCAGCTCTGTCAAAGTTGAAGGTGAAGGGATTCCAGGATTTGGATTTCCTGGAGGACCAAGATGAGCATGATGATGAAGATGGCAGCCCCCAAGAGGCAGATGCATTGACCCTTGCCAAGTCCATGTTGGACCCCAAGGGGAAAAAGGAAGCTGATATGGCAAAGCAAGCTTTGAAGCAATTTGAAACTGCAAGCGCCCTTGCAGAGAAGAAGGGCACAATTCCTGACAAAGCTTTGCTTGATGGCAAGAAAAAGCTCAGAGCTCACCTAAAGAAAGTGCTTGGAAAAGTCCAGGATGAGGGGCTGAAAACTGATGTCAAGAAGGCACTGTCAACTCTGGAGGAGATTGACCAGGGCACTGCACCTGGGGTTGTGAAAAGGGCTCTCAATGATGCTGCCCTTGTTGGCAAAAGAGCACTCAAGAGTTTGGATGGCTGATTGAAAAGGGAATGGGCCTTGCAAAAGGGCACCTAGAAGTGGTCTTGGCAAAGGACCTTTATGCAAGCATGGGCCTTGGAAAAGGGCTCATGTAAAGCACAGGTTCATGGATGTGGGAAAAGAAGCTGCTGCCCTTTGATTGTTGATGAAAGTGTTCATGTGCTGCTTTGAGCAAAGCCTTTTGTTGTCCAAAGCAGTTGTGGTTCAAGCTCCCCCTTGCAAAGGTTGGACTGCAGGGGACCTGGACAAGGGCCCCATGGGTGACCTGAGAAAGGGCGCCCCACCCTGGGAACAGGTTGTTGTGTTTGAATCAAAGCAACCTTTTGTGAGGGTAACTTTGCAATTGGATGAAGCTGAAAATATTAGAGTATCCTTTTTTGATTATGGCAAGAACCAAGAGGTTATGATGTATGATAGCACCTTAAAGCCACACTGGGCAACATTGGAAAGGTGCTTTGCAGATTCTGCAGAATTCCGAAGGCTGGTCAACTCAGACCCAGCTCTCAGGCTAAATTTTTTGGGGTGGCTGGTGGTGGAGGGCATGGACATTGTTCATGCCCTGGCTGGAAGGGAAATCGACAACACCACAAGAAAGATATTGCAACCATCTAAATTGTAATGGGCCTTGCAAAAGGGCCCATTCAAGGCACTTGCCTTCTGGCATCAGCCATGGGTCTTGGAAAAGGGCTCAGTGTTGCAAAGGCACAGGCTGTGTATGGAAAAAGTGCATGGCTTTAGTTAGTTGTGAACCTGTCTTTCTTTCATACAGCAGTTAGCTTTTTTCCCGATACAGCAGGGCCACAGTATCTGCATCTTTGCATATTGGTGGCTCAGCTTTGTGGTTCCTTCAAGAGTGTGTTGCCAGCCTTGCAAAAGGGCTAGGCCTAGCCTTCAGTTGCCAGCCTTGCAAAAGGGCTTGGCCCAGTGGTTCAGCCAGTGCCTTGCAAAAGGGCACTGGCATTCAAGCAATGCCAAAAAGAAAGCCACTAGGCAGAGGTGGAAGACACCAAAAAAAGCAAAGGCTAGAGGAAAAACAAGAAGAGAAGACTTGGCCAAGTTTTGGAGGGTTGTCTCCAATCTCTTACAAGCTTCTAGAAAAATGGAGCTGGGATGAAGTGCCAAGTGACCTGCAAGGCCTGGCTGCACTGGGCACTTATGGCAACAACCCTGCAAACATTCAGAGGGACTTGTTCAGGCATCCAGCCTTGAAAAAGCTCATGGCACCCAGGCCATACACAGTTCAGGCACACTGCTTAACACACCATGGGGTGGAATTTTGTGATTTATCCATTTTTCTTCCTCATGACTGGGTAGCCTGCTTGTCTGAGAATGGACTGCTCGAGCATTGTGTTGGTGCAATGGATGATTGCAAAACATTTTGGAAAAGTGTGAGCAAGGAGGACCCCAAGCTCTACAACAACCCAATATTGATGCAAGAGAAGGAGATCTACATGCCATTGGTTCTTCATGCAGACAAAGGTCCCCATTCCAAAGTGGACTCCCTTCACACAATTACAATGTATAGCCTGCCAGCACAGGACAGGAGGCTTGGCTTGGAGGAGAGCAGCTTTCTTTTGACCAAGAACAAGATCATAGAGTTAGGCCTCAAGGATGTGGAACCTACAATGGATGTGGTTGGGAGGGCCATTGCGTGGAGCTTCAACAGCCTCTTCAGGGGGAAACATCCCAGAGCAGACCAGGATGGAAAAGCATTTGTTTCAAGTGAGAGGCAAAGCTTAGCTTCAAAGTCGATTTGCACAAATGGCATGAGGTTTATCCTATGGGCCACACCAGCAGACTGCGAGCATAACTCCTTGGAGTACGGGCTACCACACCATGGGGCAAAGCATCCATGTATGCGGTGCCATTGTGACACAAGCCTTGCCCCATGGAACGATTTCTCTCCCAAAGCCAAATGGAGATAGCCACTCACCAACCACTGGCTCCTCAGCATCCAGGGAGTCAACAGCTTTACCTTTGCATATGACTTTATGCATTGTGCTGATATTGGGTTCTCTGCTTCTGCAGCACCTGGGCAAACTGAAAAAGGCAGACAAGATCAAGAAGCTCAATGACTTGGTTACTGAAGCTTACACTGCCCTCAACACACCCCATGATGTGAGGGTGAAGCGACTGACCTTCTCATCCTTCAGTGACTCAGATGCACCCCACCAGCACTACCCAAGCTTGATGCACAGTGCCATCAAAGCAAAGCAGGTGGCTAGGCTGGTCTCAGTGGCTGCAAAGTTCTGCAAAGATTTTTATTCTGATACAATCTATTGCAAACATAGACTGCACTGCTTGCAAAGCCTGGAGAAGCTGTACAGCATCACACACAATGCATCCATGTTCCTGACCAAAGAGGAAGCCAAAGACTACCAATCAGCTACCAGCAGGTTCCTCAGGCACTACGAATGCTTGAGCAAACTGTCTGCTGGCTCAACAGAAAGGATTGGGCAGCCCCTTGGAGGATTAAATGTTGGTAGCTTTCTTTTGATGCGCTGTGCACCTTTGCATCTTTTGATGATTTGACTTGCATCTTGATGTGCTGCACACATCTCAAGTATCAGTGGAGCCAAATCCCAAAGCTCCACTACCAGGAGCACTACAGAAGATAGTGCCTTCTTGAACCCAGCCAGGGTATGGTGCTACCCTGGTGAGCATTTAGTGGGGAATGCAACCAGGTTAGCAAATGCATGCTTGGCAGGCCTGCCACCATGGCATGTGAGCACTACTGCGTGCTTGAAGTACCAGGTTGGAAAACACATCCAATTCATGATGATGCTGTGAGGACTTGCAGAAGGTCTTCACAAGATCCAGCTGTGAGGACCTGCAGAAGGTCTTCACACAAGGACTGCCTTGAGAAAGAGAATAGATAAAAAGAGCATCTTGCAGCACAGAAAATATTGAAAATTACTTTTCAATATTATTGATTTTGATATTGATTTTTTTTATTGATTTAGACTCGGACTTCAATATGGCTATATTGATTTTTTTCTTCTATATCGATATTGATTTTTTATTGAATTTTTTCAATCAAGGATTCTCAGGGCGGGGCGGCAGCCCTTAAATCCGGGCGCCGGCCACGAAGCCCGTGTCCTCGCCGGAGGCCTTCGGTGGTAACCGAAGGTTATAGACGCTGGCCCTGGCTGCCGCTCACTGAAGCCCCTGTAATTTACAGTGTATCGTGTGTGTGAGGTA